TGGGCTGATCTAAGTCAGGGCATGGATAACTCACACATAGAATTGGAATTTAGCTTGTTGTTTGTTTTTATAGTGATTTAAGACTTACCTGAAAGTAGACCAGGAAGTAATCCAGCTTGCGCTTAGAACTGCCGTGGTCGAAATACTSGCCACAGGTATCGAGGAGTGTGCATACCATACGAATACGGAACAGATGTGTTGCAGAATCAAGCTCAGACGGAGAACCTGTTCAAAAAATGTTTTTCATAAAGCTTTACTACAGTCCAGTAAGTTTTTCTGTGTTATTGGATTGGAATTCCTTTGGTAGAGTACCTGGTAGCAAAAGTACCGTAGAGAATACTTTTGAGGCAATTTTCGGAAATATGAAATCTTTTGTCTCATCTTTCAAAAGAGACATTCGTCTAGAAAAATCTTGGTATCCTAAAAAAAACTTTACGAGTAAATTCCTTACGATTATTTATTATGGACAAAATCGCGAAAAAATTGCAGCAAAAATCAATAGTGTAAACGGGGCTTAAGGCCGRTTTACACTTGCAATTTTGTCGCGCGACTTGAACGGCGATTCCATTTGCGATTTTGTTTCAAACGCAAATTGAGCGTGTAAAACGGGCTGCGATTTTCAGCGCGAAAAAATCGCCTCGAACGTTGCACTACACTTCTACCGGTTTCGGATTGGCTCCGCAACCCAAAGTTGGAATGTATTGTTTTCATTCTACAATTTTATTGGTTCTCGCTGTCTAAGAAGCCCCGGTTATAGTAGTTGCACTGTAATACACATAAAAATAAAAAATAAAAAATATAATGGGATTAACAGTGGATTCCACAGAGTGGCTCTTCTTCCACTGGATTCTAATTGGAATTTAGAAGTTCATTTTTGCAGAGGGAGGAAAACTGGAGAACCCGGAAAACCCTTAAAGCACAGGAGAGAACCAACAAAAAACTCTACTCACATACGACACCGAGCTCGTAGGGACTCGAACCCGGTTCGCATTGATGAGAGGCGAGCACTCTCACCGCTATGCCACCCATGCTTTACATATTGGACTATTTACCATCTTCTGTGTTGCCAAACGTGATAAAGGAGTAGAGAGTGTTAAAGATGACGTTGGCCTCTACTAATCGATAGTTGAACATCTCCCCAAGGTACTTGACGCAGCACAACCGACGTTGGTTTAGCTTWGGGTGATTTAGCTGTGCGTGTGATGAAACAAAAAACGCGGGTAAATATACCACATTCTCCATGGGTGGATCTAAGGTACTTTTAAGTTTTGCTATATCTTCAATTTGTGTACAAGGAAGGGGAGCGCGCCCCTGCCCTCTCACCAGCTTACCTCCATTCCTAGACGAATTTCCTCCAATATTCCATCGACAACAAAGAGTCCTACTTCTTCCTAAAAATAAAAAATTAATTTTTTGTGATTGGTTAARTTACACACGTGATTTAACGTCATCTCCACGTCACGTCACATATTGCTTCATGATTACCGGTATTTTGTCACCTCTTACGTCATACTGTCAATTTTTCGATTCGTTGATGAGATGTACTCTCGCCTATTACGTCACAGACTGTTACTAAATGATTGGCWGAYGTACTCACGTGATATATTGCTAATCCAGCYAGCAGGTTGGCGGCACAGTGTATGCTGTTGTACTTGACATTCCAGATACGAATCAGACACTTGATGGCATACAGTGCAATCTGACAAGAAAAATCAGGACTCATCCTTATGTAGTTTAAGGAAAAACTGCCTGACAAACTCATAATGCAGTCGGTGGGAAGGAGTATCCCAGCCAAACTTGTTAATTAAAGCAAATCTTTGTAGGACTGGAAATTTCTACATTCTACATACCATTATTACCACCCATTTCTCTTCTTTTTACTCCCCTTTTTCTGCTCCCCTTTTCTGCTCCCCTTTTCTGCTCCCCTTTTCTACTCCTCTTTTCTGCTCCATTTTTTTTGTTCCGCTTCCTGCTCCCCTTTTCTACTCCCCTCTTCTGCTCCCTTTTTCTGCTCCTCTTTTCTGCTCCCCTTTTCTGTTCCCTTTTCTGCTCCCCTTTTCGTCTCCCCTTTTCGTCTCCCCTCATACTTCTCCCTTTTTTCCAAGCCCTCATAATGGACATTCTAACATACCTGAGTATTTTCCCAGGGCAACTTTCTCATTTGACGAAAAACCTACAAAGTCAATAAACAAACGAAATTTAGATCTATATACCTACAGAAATACCATAATAAAATTATCGATGTAAAAAAAACGTCATTTTATTTTACGTCGAACATGCAAGATAAGATTAATACGACACCAGATCGAATGGACTACTTCGAGAATACAGCGGCCATCTTGCCAGGGGGCCCGGCAAAACAAAACAAAGATGAYGGAAAATATATAGAGTYTCRTGTGTTTGTCTTTCTTWTATGGGTAAAGGTRATCRATGTGCCGTCYTGATTCATCTTTTGTKGTATTMTCTCGTGGTGAGCTGTTAATATCAATCGACGCCATTACTGTAACGAAGTTTTATCTCACTCCTGGAAGCCCCAAAGAGGGAGAAAAACCTCGTGGAGAAAAGAATCCGAGCCCAAGAATCGAGCATGGGTCACATTGACGAGAGGCGGTGAATTAGAAGGACAGCTAGCGTAAAAAGGAGATTAAGAAAGAGTTTCATGACACCAATAGCTGAGGGGCAACACTTGTAAAAAGTATTTTCTTTTTTTTAGAAAATTTATGTTCGTGTATGACAATGATTGGTTTATCCCTGCCTTCCAACATGGCTGCCAAAAACAAAAAACAAAAAACAAAAACCAAACAAAAAACCAAACAAAAAACAAAAAACCAAACAAAAAACCAAACAAAAAACAAAAAACAAAAACAAACAAAAAAAAAACAAAAAAAAAAAAACAACAACAACAAAAAAAACACAAAAAAACAAAACAAACAAAAAACCCTCTTTGTCCTTCTTTCCTTACCTTTTCAGTGGTTGTCTTTGAAAGGTCCATGTACAGCAATTTACGGATATACTCATGCATTGGAGGACGCTCCTTCATTACGTACTACACAACAGAATGAACAATGATTAAATAATGAACAAAATATTAGAATCAGCATGCTCAGTCATGACATTGTTATGGCAACAGCCGGCACGGCACAGTACGGTATGTACATATGGTAAAACAAGCAAGTCTGGTTTTACTTTTTACCTTTTGTCTGTCAGGAGGGTTGCAGTAGTAGAAGGCATTATCCACAAGCGATAGGTAACGACTGTCAAGATTCTGAACCGTTTTCTTCCTCATCATTAACTCCTGTAGTACATGAAAGATTAGAGAGTTTTAGATTGACTTTTTTTCTCCCCGCAAACGGCAAACGTGACCACATTTTCATCTTTTCCCTACATTTCACTTTACCTTTTACAAATCTTCTCACCAAAAACAAATATTATTTTGTTTTTCTACTACTTGGACTTTTTTGCGATTCTTTTTAAGATATTTAAAATATTTTTTTAACAGTCAACTGACGTTTCACGTTTGCCGTGAACGTAAATCTAAAACTCTCTATTAAGACAAATGAACATTACGTAACGCCTGTACATCCTTCAGATGACGTTCTACTGGGCAATGGCGTCGCAGGTATGGAATGTACTTTATCACCTTATCACTCTGTTTTAATGCACTTAAAGCACCGAAAAACTATACGAATACGAACTTGCTATTTTTTAAAGCTGCCAGATTTTTCTTTGATTTTTTTGTTATATGTTCCAACATATTGTCCCATCCTTGAAGAAATGGTTACAAACTACCTCCAAAAATTGAATTGTTTGCGAGATCATACATGTATGGGTTAATATATAATTGCTTAGCAGACGTACCAACCAACGTTTTAGCTTATTCTAATTAGAGGGACAAAGACTTGCTATAACCATAGTCTCGGTAAAATAAGGGATGCCCACTTTTGGCAAGCCGATAACCTCTTGACAACTTACTAAGGAATGTGATAAACTATGTAGTATATAGGAGAGAAATGATTTCCTTACCAGAAAGTTCTTGGTCCTGATATGCGTGTCAGGAGAGCGGTACAAGAATCTACCACACACCTCCAGTAGGTTACAAGCCATCTCGATGTAATGATGTGTGAAATCCTCTAGTAACAGCTGGTGATAGAGTAGACAGTGTGAGAATATGTATATGTTAGGTGTTGTGTATGTAATGATGTGTGAAATCTTCTAGTAACAGCTGGTGATAGAGTAGACAGTATGAGAATATGTAT